AGAAAGAAGGAAAAGTTAGTCGTTATAATTAATGTCTGCTTTAATCATGGCTGCTGGTTGGTTAAAGTTCTGCAATTTTTAGCAAGGGGCCTCTCCGGCCTTATAGTTTATAGCAAACTATAAAATGTAATAAAAATAAACAAATGAACTATAAAGTGAAATTAGAGTAAATAAAATAAAAAGAATACCAACCACAAAATGTAAAATTTAAATTAAAAATACAAAATTGAGTTTAATTAAAAAGAATCCAAATTCAATAACATTTAGAAGTATAAAAGAAAACATATATAAATTAAAATTAAAATAGAAGTATTAAGTAGCATGAAATTAAATTATGTTAAAATAAAAATAATGAAATAAATGTAAGGTAAAACTAAGTATAAAAATTAATAAATATGAAATAAAGCATAAAATTAAAAGAAAATTTAATTAGATTAAAAGTATGTTAATATACATGTACAACACAAATTTATATATTTATGTCTACTAAGTACATAGGAGCTCTGGTAGCGTAGTGTCTAAGGCACTTGACTGCTAACCAGAAGGCTGGCGGTTCAAACCCACCAGCCACTCCTTGGAAGGAAGGTTGGGCAATCTACTTCCGTAGTGATACTGCCTCGGAAACCCAAGGAGGGGTTGCTATGAGTCGGGTCCGACTCGACGGCACATAACAACAACAACAACATTATGTACATGTCCAGAACACTTAATCGTGCATATGAGGAACCTGTACATAGACCAAGAGGCAGTCATTTGAACAAAACAAGGGAATACTGTGTGGTTTAAAATCAGGAAGGGAATGCGTCAGGGTTGTATCATTTCACCATACTTATTCAATGTATACGATGAGCAAATAAACCCAGAAGCTGGGTTACATGAAGGATAACGCAGAGTCAGGGTTGGAGGAAGACTCATTAACAACCTGCGATATGCAGATGACGCAACCTTGGTTACTGAAAGTGAAGAATACTTACTGATGAAGGTCAAAGACTACAGCCTTCAGTATGGATTACACATCAACATAAAGAAAATAAAAGTCCTTACAACTGGACCAATAAGGAACATCACGATAAATGAACGAAAGATTGAAGTTGTCAGGTATTTCATTTTACTTGGATCCACAATCAACATGCATGGAAGCAGCAGTCAAGATATCAGATATTGTATTGCACTGGGCAAAAGAGCTCTTTCATGTATTAAAGAGCAAAGATGTCACTTTGAAGACTCAGGTGCACCTGACCCAAGCCTTATCATTTTCAATAGCCTTGAGAGCTGGACAATGGGTAAGGAAGATCACAGAAGAATGGAACAATGGATAAGGAAGATCACAGAAGAATGGGCATTTTAATTGTGGTGTTGGTGAAGAATATTTAATGTACCATGGACTGCCAGAAGAATGAACACATCTGTCTTGGAGGAAGTACAGCTGGAATGCTCCTGAGAAGTGAGAATGGCAAGGCTTTGTCTCACCTACTTTGGTCCTGTTGTTGGAAGTGACCAGTCCTTGGAGAAGGAGATGATGCTTGGTGAAGTAGAGGGTCTGTGAGAACGGGGAAGACTCACACAGGGATGGATTGACACAGGCTCTGATGATGGGCTCAGACCTGGCAATGACTGGTGGTATGATGCAGGACCAGGCAGTGTTGAGTTGCTGTGAGTTGGAACTGACTCAATGCCACCTAACAACAACATGTATACATCCTATATATTTATAGTGTAAATGTAATTTGTTCATATACAAGTTTATTGTTTTCTATATAGAATCTAAATAAAACATTCACTACCTTCCCCTTCCAGTCATTGCCACATCCTGTCTCACGACCTCTGCACCCTCCACCCCAACTACTTGCTCATGGTAAAACCTTTAGGCCACCTCCCTAGAGGATTGTGGGAGACAGGGTGCCGGTTCAGACTGCAGTGCGTGTATGGAGGTGACAGAACTGACTTCAGACAAAGACTGGGAATTCTAAAGCGTCAGCAGAAGAGACAGTAGGAATGAGGGGGGACGTCCTCTGGGGCTCTTCTGTCCTGTCCAGGGATGGCAGGCAATTCACCCCACTCATATCCCTGGGGAGTTCAGACACCTGTGACAAAGAGCCTACAGAGCTAGAAGAGGTTCCCCACTGACTCAAAATAGCATCGACCTCCACGTGGAGTGGGGACTGGAAGGCGCTGGGGTAGGTAGGGCCTCTTGCCTCTGGAAGACCCTGGTCTCAAACAGGGAGTTTCCACACAGCCGACTGTTCGTGAGAGGGAGGGCCAAATGCAACCTGTGTAGACCCCGAGGGCTCAGATGGACTTGTCAGAAGCCTTTCCCGGACCGTGAGGGAGGCAATCACAGGAGGAGGACAGTCTGGAGTGGTGATGCCCTTTCTGCAGAAGCCCAGGACCTTGTCCCCTCTACCAGCTTTCCACAGTGGCCTTCCCATACCCAGTCAGGGATGAATGCTGATCTCTGCCCTTGAGCCTGGCCTTGGAAACGCTTCAGCTGTAGGACAAGGCACCGACCATGATGTGTGGTTCAGTACAGGCCCCTCCTCTGGTAGTCCTGAAGGGGCTTTTGCTTCAGGGTGTCTGTGTCTCTCTCTCTCTCACTGCACCCTAGGAACCCTGCAGCACCTAGGAAAACCCAGGCTGTAGGCCGAGGCCATGGGACATGTCCTGCATGACAGTAGCTGCCGCATCCAGCTTCCAGGCATCCCAGCCCAGCCCATACGTGGGAGTGAGAAAACCTCCAGAAGACTGCAGCCCCATTTGAGTGGGATCACATATATTCAGGGTTAACTGGCTCTCAGAAGCTCTGCTAACTATGTCTCCTGAAGCAGCCCCTCAGTTTCTGTAGGAAAAGGCAGTGGCGGGGCCCAGAAAACCCCCTATCTCAGGTGATGTGGTCAGAGTGCCTTAGACGTCACCCCCACTGGCTGCTTTTGTCTTAGTGAAGCTGCTTCACTCTAAATGGCCTCCACCAGGCACTGTGTCCTTGCCAGTCATTCCGGGAGGCTGCCACAGTCACCCAGGGCTGTGTGGAATGCAGAACCCTGGCTCCGCCCTGGAACATCCTGCAGGGCCTCCCTTTGAGATGGGTTTGACATCAGGAGGGCTAATCCCCTCTTTGCTGCCTAAACCTCTGAGACCTTGAGAGAGTCACTCGCTGTGCCTCAGTTTCCCCATCTGGAAGGTGGGGTCTCAGACAGGAGGCTGTGAGGGTTAGCAGGTGGGAAATGCCCACTTGCTCTTCCCAGGCCCTTGTTTGTTTTTGTAAAATGATACTCACCACCTGAGTAAACCTCAGTTCCCCCGTGGGGAGGGACTTCTGTGTAGGTGAGGAAGGTCCTGACCTGGTCCTGAAGGATCCTGGGAGAACCAGGTCAGGAATTCACTTTAAATTACCTCAGCACAAATCGGCTGCAAAAGACCTCTTTAAAGTGCTGAAGAGCAAAGATGTCTCTTTGAAGACTAAGGTTGAGTCTAACCCAAGCCATGGTATTTTCAATAGCCTCATATGCATGTGAGGAGCTTTCGTGGTGTAGTGTCTAAGGCATTTGACTGCAAACCAGAAGGCTGATTGTTCAAACCCACCAGCCATTCCCCGGAAGGAAGGTTGGGCAGTCTACTTTTGTAGTGGTACTGCCTTGGAAACTCGAGGGGATCTGACTCAACGGCAGTGAGGTTTTTTTTTTTTCTTTGTTCATACGCATGTGAGAGCTGGACAGTGAATAAGGGAGACCGAAGAAGAGTTGATGCTTTTGATTGTGGTGCTGGCGGAGAATGCTGAAAGTCCCATGGTCCGCCAGAAGAACTAAGAAATCTGTCCTGGCAGAAGTGCAGCCGGAATGCTCCTTGGAAACGAGAATGGCCAGACTTCGTCTCACCTACTTAGGTCATGTTGTCAGAAGGGACCATTCTCTGGAGAAGGATATTGTGCTTGGTAAAGTGGGAGGTCAGCAAAAAAGTAGAAGGCCCTCGACAAGATGGATTGACACACTGGCTGCAACGACAGGCCCGGGTATAGCATGGATTGTGAGGCTGGCACAGGACCGGGCAGCGTTTCGTTCTGTTGTACACAGGGTGGCTGTTAGTCGGAGTGAACTCGACAGCACCCAACAACAGCACAGACTAGAACATGTATGCATGTGTATACATGCATATGCATGTGTCAGTGCCTGTGCTGTGTGGGCTTGTGAATGTGTGTGTGTTCATGCATGCATGGGCACACGTGGGCCTCTGTGTACTAAGTGTGCAAGTCTGTGCACATGTGTATGTGTGCACTGCATGCATGTGTATATATGCACATGTGTATGTGTCTGTGAGCGCTTCAAACTCCCTGCTCTTGGCAGCCATCTCTTCAAGGGGACTGACTCTCCCAGCTGGTAGCCACCCCCTTATCAGAACCCCAGTACTGCCTAATCTCTGGGTGGCACCTGCCCTGGGCTGAGCGTGCAAACCCCACTGGCTGTAGGACACTCGTGTGGCTATGCAGTGCCTGCGACCTGGCTAGCATGTGGTCAGACCCCCCCAGCCTGGTCTGAACAAGGAAAACCTGACCCGGCCTGTGACCTGAGTGCGAGGGACAGAGAGGCCTCCCAGACGCCCTGGTCCCCTCTGGGTTCCCAGGCGCCTTGAGCCAGCCCCCTCCGGTACCCGCAGGTGCGCGCCCTGAGTAGCGGCTGCGGGGACTGCGCGTGTGCAGAGCGCCCCCTTCCTGCTCCTGTTATTCAGGAGCACGCAGGACCAGGGCGCGGCTGTGGGGGTCCCGCCTCCAGAAAGACACCATCTGCTCCCCCTGCCTGGAGCCAGGCGGGGCCGGTGGCCCGCGCAGGGCGTCCCGGCTGCGGAGTGGGGGAGCGCGCGGCGGGCCAGGTGGTGTGGCGGTGCAGCCTCCCGCACCCTTCCGAGCCGACCGAGATCCGGGTCATCGACCGTGGGGCCCGCCTTCCCCTAGGCGCCTCCCCCGGCTCTCGGGCCGGTGCCCCAGGCGCTGCCTGGTCCCCGCCCCCGCGCCCGGTCCCCATGGAGCAGCTGCTGCGCTCAGAGCTGCGCACCCGGACCCTGCGGGCCTTCGGGAGCCCGGGGGCCGGCTGCATCAGCGAGGGCCGCGCCTACGACACAGACGCGGGCCCGGTGTTCGTCAAGGTCAACCGCAGGACTCAGGTTCGCCGCACGGGGCCTGGGCTGGGGGCTGCAGGCGGGGTGGAGGCAGGTGGCCGCCCAGCGGTGTCGCTGTCGCTCGGGCCCCAGGTCATCTGCGGGTCAGCGGGCTGCAGCGTTGTGTGGTGTCCTGGGTTTTTGTCTTCGCTGAGGGTTTACATCTTCTACCTGCAAACGCGGGAGGAGGCAAGTCTGGGGTCTGGCCCCCCGCTGCAGCTCTCCTTCGCCTCAGCAGATGGAAGGTCATGCGAGGGGCGCCCGGGGGCCCTCTAACGTCCCTCCACCCAAAGGCTGTTTCGGTGAGGTCGGATTTCCACAGCTGCTTACAGTTTCTCTCTCCAGGAATTTGTGGAGTGGGGGGCCCTTGACTAGTGGAGAGAGCTGGCCCTTGCATGGGCTTCAGAGGGGCTCCTGGGCAGCTGGGGGCTGGGGGAGGCCCTGCTTGCACTCTGGGTCCCTTCAGTGCTGTTGCCCCCGGGCGGGGTGGGGCGCTAGGAGGGAATCCAGAGAGGCCTGGAGGGCCAGTTGCTGGTTGTGCCCTGTGCTTGTGCCCCACATACAACATGGAGGTCCCCCAAATTCCCATCTGCTGTGGACTTGACTTTCTTCCCCTCAGTTGTCTGGTTCGAGCCCCCCTTCATGTCCTGTGTTCACTCAGGCTGAGGACTGTGCCCCAGTCTTGTACACCCCAGTGCAGTGCCCCCATCTGCATGTCCCCACCTCTCAGGCCCCTGAGCTGGGATGCTGCTCCTTCGGCCTCCTGGGCCCTGCGCCTGCCCTCCACTCCTCAACTCATTCCAGGCTGTTCCTTGAGGCTCCTGGGGCCAGGCTGGAGACTGGGTTCCAGCTGCAGGGTCTTAGTTGGGGGGAGGGGTGATTAGCTGCAGAGCTCTTGGAACTACCCCGTCCTGGCTGCGGGACCTGGGGCACCCCCCTCTGGGCCTCAGTTTCCCCATCAGTAAAATGAGGTGCCACGGAGATTGAACTGGCTCTGTGGTGCTCTGTGCTGCCTGGAGGGGTGCCAGTGGGCCCAGTGGCCTGGATAAGCATGAGCTTATCAACAGCTGGGACCATTGATAGAGGTGGTGGTGCCCCACCTGCTTATGGGGAGTGGTGTGGGTTGGGGATGTGCCTCAACCGGAGGAGCACCTAGCCTGACCTCCCTGGACCTCATGGTTCCTCCTGCCAGGCTGTCTGCTCCCCATTCCCCTCCTACCCAGGGCAGGTGTCCCTCGGTCTCAGCTGCTAGCAGACTCTCAGTGTGACCAGATACACATAGAGGTCATGGCTGACCCAGGGTCTGTCTGGGTTGGCCTAAGGCCAAACAAAGGGACTAACTCCATGAAGTGCTGACGTCTGAGGGGTGGAGTGGAGTGGCCTGGGTTAGGAGAACCCAGGTGACCTCCTTCCAGAAAAGAAGGCCAGGGCCGGGGGCTGAGTGTGCTCAGTCACATGGCAGGTCAGCACAGGCCTGGAGGACACCATGGGCCATCCATGTGCCTAGTCTGTGGGCAAGCTCATGGAGGAGGGGCCAGGCACAGAGGCGGGTGGGGAGGTGGTTAGGGGAGAGGGAGAGAGACAGAGAGAGAGAGAGAGAGAGAGAGAGAGAGAGAGAGAGAGAGAGACAGGGTGATGGGGAGGAAAGGTCAGCTCTACTCCAATGCCTCAGGGCTCCCAGGGCTCCTCTGCAGCCCCACAGCATTTGAGGCCCTAGACCCTGAGGTTGAGTCAGCAGGTGTCTACTGGGAGGAGCCTCAGATCCTTCCTGGAGGACTTGTTGCTCCTCTCTGGACATGGAGGCTTGCCCCAGGCCATGGCCACCTACCTCATCCCTCCTGACCTGGCAGAGATGAGGAGGGCTGTGTCTCCCCTTGGCTGAGGGGGGAGCTGGGTGGTGGAGTAGGCACCCCCAGGCAGGTGTAGTGGGGCTCACTTCTCCCTGGGATGCTCAGACCTGGCAGGGGTAGGGTGCCCAGAGTCCTGTTTTGGAAGTTTGAGGGAAGGCCACTGGTACTGAACCGTCCTCCATCAAATGTCCCCTCTGCCTTCCTGCCCCAGTCAGGCCCTCAGGGCTCAGGGCTACAGCCCCTGGGTCCACCCTTTTTCCACAACTGGTCTTCTTGTTGCTCCGCCTTCTTACCGCCAGCCCTGGTAGCCCTGAGGCACTGCAGCTCCTCTTTGGGGACACACCCCTGAAGCCCTGGCCTTGCCCTTCTGAATTTTTGCAGCCCTAACAGTATGACAGGCCTATGGCCGGCCTCCTGGCGTTAGGGTAGACTGAGACATCTAATCTCATAATCTCAACATCACACCCTTCAAGTGATGATGAGTCTGCCACTAGAAGCAGGTCTGCAGGCTCATTCCGGCCTTGGAATCTTCCAGGTGGTCCCTGGAAGCTCCTTCAACTGGGACCCCCACTTGCCCTCTGAACCCCTAGTACCTGTGCAAGTTGCTGCTCAACCCGTGCACAAGAGCAGGTATCAGTGGGCCTTCCTGGACACAGGCAGCGCCCGAGGCTCTCAGCAGGGCTCACTGTCACATCCTGTCTACCTCGCAGCCTCAGGTCAGCGTTTCTGCAGCTCCTTCCTATCTGAAAGACCGCTCTGTACCCCACACCCTGAGGGTGACACCTTGCTCCGGGTGGCTCAGGTGGTTCTGGGCTCTCTCATGACTCAAGTCAGCATGCAGAGCTGATGCAGGCATCTGGTCGCAGGCCCGGCAGATGTTTGAGGGGGAGATGGCCAGCCTGGAGGCCCTCCGGGGCACAGGTCTGGTGCGGGCGCCTCGGCCAGTCAAGGTGATCGACCTACCAGGAGGAGGGGCCGCGTTCGTGATGGAGCACCTGAAGATGAGGGGTTTGAGCAGGTGCGTGCACACGTGTGTGTATGGGGGTATATGTACATGGATGTGTGTGTACAGCATGTGCACACGTGTGCATGCATGTGCACGTGCATATGTGTGAGTGAGCATTTGTGTGAGTGGATGTGATGAGAGACAGAGAGACACAGAAAAGACAGAGCATGAATGAGCGAGAGCGTAAGCCGCTGCTGAAGAGAAGCGGCAGGGCCCAGGAACCCCGGGTCTGTTCTTAGTGGAGACAGGCGTTACCGCTTTCTGGTGGAAGGCTGTGTGTTTGCTTATGTTAGTGTTGGCTTTAATGCGGCTGCTATCAAATAAGCATATTTGAAACCATCACCTTCTCCATCCTTTAAAGTACATTCCTGACAGCTCCCCCTGGGCAGCATGAGGGCTGATTCTATTAATTATCTGGAGTTCTATTTAAATTGTTTTCCTGATTACAAAAGTCATACACATTCATTGTATGAAATGTGGACATGCCAGCTTGTAACAAAGACATAAGACATCCACAGTTCCATCAGCGGGTACAGCACCACGAATGTTTTAGTATGGGATTATCATTCCAGTCTTTGTCCTCTGTGTGACAGGCATCGTTTTTACAAAAACTGGAAGCTGATTTTTCACTTACTGATACTCTCTGGGCCCTCTCTCCTTACTCCTGAGCACCTCCTGTCTGCCGGAGCCCACCAGCCAACTCCTGCTTGGTGGTCTGACACCACTTTATTCTTCAGAAAGGGTCATAACCTGGGGTCACTTTTAACTTTTTTAAAAATGGAGAGCATTTGTTAACCATTGTATTTTGAGCCCCAGGTGCTGGGTTGAGGATGGGAGGAATCACTCCTCCACACACCCTATCTTTACTGAGTGCCCACTCTTCCAGGCCCTCTTCTCATGTTGCCAAACAGCCCCAGAGCATGGCAACCAGGTGCACTATGGGATTGGACCCAGAGGGTTTTCAGTTCAGAAGGAGATAGCCAGGCCTTTCTTCCTAGTTAGTGTTAGTCTGGAAGCTCTGCTAAAACCTGTTCAACATGTTAACAAGAAGCAAGCCTCTGCTGACATACAGGCTGTGGCTACCTGTGGGGTGCCTTGGCCAGGAATTGAACTGGGGTCCCCCACATGGAAGGTGAGAATTCTACCACTGAACCACCACTGCTCTTATCTATTTACTCGTTCTGTGTGCTGAGCAAATAATCCCAGCAGCTGGACTACACAAAGAACACAGCATCAAGATTGGAGGAAGACTCATTAACAACCTGAGACATGCAGATGACACAACTTTGTTTGCTGAAAGTCAAGAGGACTTGAAGCATTTCCTGATGATCAAAGATTGTAGCCTTCAGTATGGATTACACCTCCACATAAAGAAAACAAAAATCCACCCAACTGGACCAATAAGCATTGTCGGCATAAATGAGGAAAAGATTTAAGTTGTCAAGGATTTCATTTTACTTGGATCCACAATTAATGCCCATGGAAACAGCAGTCAAGAAATCAAATGACATACTGCACTGGGTAAATCTGCTGAAAAGACCTCTTTAAAGTGTTAAAAAGCAAAGATCTCACTTTGAGGACTAAGGTGTGCCTGACCCAAGCCATGGTGTTTTCAATCGCTTCATATGCCCATGAAAGCTGGACAAAGAATAAAGAAGAATCAGTGCCTTTGAATTATGGTGTTGGTACTGGCAAAGAATATTGAATATACCATGGACTGCCAGGTGAACGAACAAGTCTGTCTTGGAGGAAGTCCAGCCAGAATACTCTTGAGAAGCAAGGACAGTGACTTCATGTCATGTACCATGAGCATGTTATCAGTAGGGGCCAATCCCTGGAGAAGGACATCATGCTTGTAAAGTAGAGTATCAGGGAAAGACCCTCAATGAAATGGATTGACACAGTGGCTGCAATGATGGGCTCAAGCATAACAGTGATTGTGAAGATGGGGCAGGACCACACAGTGTTTTGTTCTGTTGTATAGGGGTCACTGTGAGTCAGAACTGACTCAATGACACCTAACAACAGCAATGTTTTTAAAAAAAGCATGTAAGCAATTCTCAAAAGGAACTTTTTTTTCATTAAATATTATTTTGTTATTGTGGTAAGTATACATGTCACAAAACATATGCTATTTCAGCATTCTTCACATGTACAGTCTAGTGACATTAATTCTAGCAACATGTCTTTTTTTTTTTTTTTTAAATTATTCTTATAATTGGCTGCATTTCTGTTTTCCTCAGTCAGGCATCGAAACTTGGAGAACAAATGGCAGATTTGCACCTTTACAACCAGAAACTCGGGGAGAAGTTGAAGCAGAAGGAAAGTACAGTGGGTACGATCAGATTGCTATCATATCCCTTGACCTAGCTGCATTGTCCCCAGGTGGGTGCTCACTCTGTTTCATTGTGGCATTTCAGTAATGGGTTGACTTGCATACCATCTCCCTTTACACTTGAGAACTGGATTGTTAAATGAGGATATTTTATGGGACTGAAAAGCTAGTAGAACTGGCTCACGACCCCTTTTATACCCAGCCCTGCTGTCCAGTGTGCTTGAGGCAGGAGTGTCTTGGCTGGTCCATATGTTGACTAATTGCTACTATTTGTAGTCCATCCTTGGTCTACCCATGTGCTAGCAATTACTGGCCGTGTCTGTACCAACACTTTGCTGCAGTCTGGCACATAAGAGAGAGACCAAGTAGCTCTTTCAGACCAAGGATCTCTGTTGGCAGGCAGAATGGCTGGGAATGCTGAGCCCCAGTACGTGACCAAGTTTGGCTTCCACACAGTGACTTGCTGCGGCTTCATCCCACAGGTGAGTGCCTGAGTGGGATGTCTCTGCTTAGGTGATGACCATCCTGGATGCCTAGGTACTGCTCTTCCTACCTCTTGTCTGTGGCACAGTGCCAGTCCCCCAAGTATTAGCAAGATTACCTAGCTGATTTCTGAAAGTGAAGTGTTCACTGTGATACCTGGGATGTGGGGAGCCAATTTAGAGGTTCACCGAGCCGGGAGGCCATGGAGTAGGTGGAACAGCATTCCAAGCAGAGGGTACTGTAGGTGCAGAGGCTGAAGTACAGGTGGAAGCATGATGGGGGTGAGGGACCAGAGAGGCAGAACCCAGAGACAGGGAGTGAGGAGCCTGCAGGAGACCTCAGCCCCCATCCTGGGGCAGCCCTGCACTACTTTTGAGGGAAGTGGATACTCTCTAGGAGCTCTGGTGGCATATTGCCTAAGGCATTTGACTGCTAACCAGAAGGCTGATGGTTCAAATCCACCAGCCACTCCTCAGAAGTAAGATTGGGTGATCTACTTATGCAGTGATACCGCCTTGGAAACCCAAAAGGGGTTGCCATGAGTTGGTTCCAAGTTGACTGTAGTGAGTTTGGTTTTGGATACTCTCTGGCAGCCACACCAGGCCAAATCCTGGGGAGGTCATCAGGCCTCGGATGCCTGGGTATGGCTTACTGAGTGGTGCATGTTGGGGACAGAGACACCGAAGCAACTTGCCAGTCATCCTGAGGAGGTGGCCACATGTGGGTATCCTGTGGAGAAGTGAGCTATGGAGAGGTTGCCCCTGACTAGGGGTGGCTGGGTATGGGTCTCTGGGAAGACCTTACCAGTGAAACTGGGTGCATGAGAGGATGCCCTACATTGGGTTCCTCATCATCAGGACCTGGGGACGATCAGATCCTGGATTAAGCCCTGGTCACTCCTGGGCTTCTCTTTCTCTAAGTGCTGAGATAAAATTCACTACAGATTAGTTTGCAGTTTTTGGAGTTTACGGTAAATGGAATGATACAGTACATACTCATGTCATCTATCAGCTTTCAATTGGCCCATTATTCATCCGTATCATTGATGTATCAAAAGTTCGTTCCGTTGTGTGGATGTGCCGCAGCCTGTTTACCCTTCGCCTGTCATGGGACATCTAGGTTTCCAGCTTTTGCTTTTACAGATCAAGCTGTTATTCACACACAAGTCTTTGTATGGACAAATGTTTTCATTTATCTTGGATAGTATCTAGGAAGAGAATGAATGACTGGATCAGATGGTAGGTATATATTTAATTTTCTAAGTTGCCACACTGTTTTCCGAAGGGGTTGCACCATCTTACAGTGACTACCACCACCAGTGTGAGAGTTCCAGTTCCTCCATATCCTCACCTAAACTTGATGTTTTCAACTTTAGCCATGCTGATAGGACTGTCCTGATGTCCATTTAAGTTCTAATGTGCACTTCCCTTATGACTAGTGAGGTGGACTATCTTTTCATGTGCTCGCTTGCCAACCATGTATCCTCTTTGGTTCAAATCATATCCCCGTTTTGTGAATGGGCTGTTAGTTTTCTTATTACTGGGTTTTGAGAGTTTATATAATTTATATATGTCCTTTCTCAGGTAATTTGAAAATATTTTGTCTAACCTCCTCTAACTTCACAAAAGGGATCATAAATCACCATCAGCAGCCCAAGGCTTATTCCCAGGAGGCAGAGGTCAGACATGCTGCCATGCTCCAACCTTTTCCCAGTTCTGACACCAACTGTTCCTCCCATGGCACTCTGCTGGGTTTGATTATTCATTGCATTGGCCACACAGAACTCACAGACAATACTCACTATTATGGGGTTTATTACAGAAGTAACAGGTTACACTTCAGGATCAAGAACAACTCAGCTTCTCTCTGGCCTTGGCCTCTGCTGTGCTTGCGCCAGTGTTACAAAGCTCTTTCAGCTTTGCTGATAGGTGCCCAAAGAGGCACCTCATTCCACCAGCAAGCCTCCTACCCAAAGGCACTCAGCTTTCTTGTTCTGTGGGCCAGGAAGCCTGCCACTCTGTCTTGTGCCAGTCTCTTGGTTCTGCTGCCTCTCCTGCCATCTTGCTGCCAAGGGCATCCAGCACAGGGGTATCGGGTCCAAGGATGCATTCCACTCCTGGTTCTTCTGTGTTGATGGTAGTGAGAGCCTCTGGGAGGGTTTCATTCTAAGCCTAGCGGGTTGGCAAAACTGACTAATCCGCACATTAGGGTTCTATACACCTTATTTCCATGGTCCCACCCCCACAAATGTGCCAGGTACCTTATTTACAGTATTATCAAGCTATCTAATCCCCTTGGTGGGCCACAGGCACCTCACATCTGCATAGTCCTAGCCAGTCATCTGGTGGAAGTCACAAAGACCATGGCTAGAGAAGCCATATTAAGTAACTCACTGCACCACAATTTTTTTTTTTTGCAGTTTGTGATTTGTCTTTTCGTTTTAAAATTTTTAGAGTCTAATTTATGGATTTTTTCTTTTATGACTCATGTTTTAGCACTGTATATAAGGAAGCTTTGCCTAATTCAAAGCCACAAAGATTTTCTCCTATTTACCTAGGGTACTGGATTTTGTCACATGCTTTTTCTGCATCCATTGAGATGAGCATATGGTTTTCTGTTTTAGTTTGTTAATATGGTGAATTACATTGGATTTTCTTCTTCCTTTTTTAAAAAATATTAAACCAACTCCATTTGGTCAGGAAGTAATAACTTTTTAATGTATTGTTGAAGTCTATTTGCTAAAATTTTGTTAGATTGTTTGCATTTATATCCATGAAGGACATTCGTCTGTTGTTTTATTTTTTTGTAATGTCTTTGGTTTTGATGCAGGCCTCACAGAATGAGTAGGAATGTATTATTTTTTCAGTTTTCTGGAAGTGTTTGTGGGAAGTTGGAATTACTAGTTTTTTCTTTAGATGTTTGTTATAATTCACCAGTGAAATCATCTACGTCTGGAGTTTTCTTGGTGGGCAGGACTTTAACACACGTTCAGTTTCTTTAACAATTGCAGTGTTATTCATGCCATTTCTTTCTTTTGGACTGAGCTTTGGTAGTTTGTGTCTTTCAAGGAGTTTCTCAATTTGATTGAAGGTGTTGACTCTATTGGCATAAAGATATTTATAATCTTTCCTTATAATCCTTTTACTATTTGCAGACTCTGCAGTTACACCACCTCTCTCATTCCTGATGCTGGTAATGTGTTGGCCTTGTTTTTTTCTCACCAGTCTAGCTAGAAATTCATCAATTTTACTGATCTTCTCAAAGAACCAGCATTTTGTTATGTTGCTTTTCTTCTGTTGTTTTTCTGTTTTCTATTTCAGTGCTTTCTAAAAAGACGTTTATTGTTTCCTCTTTTTTTTTTTTTCCTACCTTGGGTTTAAGGAGCTCTGGTAGCATAGTGCCTAAGGCACTTGACTGCTAACCAGGAGGCTGGCAGTTCAAACCCACCACCACTCCTTGGAAGGAAGCCTGGGCAATCTACTTCTGTAGTGATACTGCCTCGGAAACCCAAGGAGGGGTCGCTATGAGTTGGGTCCCACTCAATGGCACACAAGAACTACCACCACCACCTTGGGTTTAATTTGCTCTTTTCTAATTATTTAAGCTTGGAAGGAGGATGGGGCAATCTACTTCCATAGTGATACTACCTTGGAAACCCAAGGAGGGGTCGCTATGAGTTGGGTCTGACTGGACAGCACATAACAACAACAACAACAATTGCTTAAGCTGGGTCATTGATCTGAGATCTTCCTGCCTTTTATATGGAAAGTGTATTTCTTGTAGTGTTTATGGTTGGTTCTCACTGTAATGTGATTGTGATGTGCTCAGGGTTAAGTCTATCATTTTGCCATTTGTTTTTTATTCGTCTCATCTGCTCGTTGTTCCTGTTTTCTTTTGATCTGCCTTCTTTTGGGTCAGTTTTGATGAGTCTCTTCTCTCCTTTGGTGGCCTATCAGCTGTGACTGCTTTAGGGGTTGGGCAGGATGCCACGTCTCTGTCCTGTGGGCATTAGCTACAATGTCAGCCTCTTGTCCCTTGCTGCCCAGGTGAATGAGTGGCAGGAGGACTGGCCGACCTTCTTCACCCGGCACCGGCTCCAAGCGCAGCTGGACCTCATTGAGAGGGACTACGCCGACAGAGAAGCACGGGAGCTCTGGTCACAGCTACAGGTGGGGTGTGCCTCTCTGGGAGAGGAGGTATCTTCTCACAAGCCCACATTCGTGTGGGACCCCCTGTAGACGGGAACCGGAGCAGGGCACAATGGGCCTGAAGCAGAGCTGTGTCATGGACACGTGTAAGTGCCTAAGAGTTGGCCTGATAGGGTGCTGAGGCTATGCTTGACTCCTGAGTGCCACTCTAACCTGCTGGGCCATCAGGCTAACCTTAATCTTCCCTTATGTGAAATCAAGAACCATCAAGTCCATGCTCAAGGGCTGATTTGTTTGGAAGATCACCAGGCCTGTCTTCTGAGGTGCCTCTGGGTATACTCAAACCTCCAGCCTGTCAGTTTTATTATGTGAACTGGGGGTGGTTAAATGATAGTGCCTGGCTTGTGAAAGGTGGCCATTATGATTACTTTTGTTATTTAGTAACACTTTTCCAGTCTTACCCTGTTCCATTCTTCTCTGCCAAGGCTCAAGTGTCTTCCGTCCTAGTAAAAGCAGGTGCCCCAGAGACACTAGTTCCAAAACATAACTCTCAAAATGTGAAAAATGGAATTCTATCAAGCCACGGTGAACGTGGTCAAAGACATTTTACTCTAGCCATTAGTGAGGTAACTAGGATACAAAAGAGGTACAGATAGATAAGTGAACAGTGGGGAAGGAGCTAGGTACCAAACTGGGCAATGAAACCCTAACCTTTGGGGTTTGCTCTTCTACCGAACAGTTTCCGTATGGAAATTTTTTTTTTTTTTTTTTTACTTTCCCATGTTAAACATTATAGAATTGTAAAATGCCTGGACCTAAATTAGCACTAAATAGTAAATCAGCATTGACATTCCTCCAGATGAGGGGCCCCTTATCCCAGGCTTAGTGGACAGTGCCCTGGTGTGACCATGGACGGACATGCAGTCATCTTTGCCTTATATCCAAGTGGCAGATGGAGAGACCATGGCCCCCAAGGCCCCAGTAATTCTGTGCATGGTGACTGCTTTCCTAGGTGAAGATCCCGGATCTGTTCTGTGGCCTGGATATCACTCCTGCCTTGCTCCATGGGGACCTCTGGTCGGGAAATGTGGCAGAGGATGATGCCGGACCCATCATTTACGACCCAGCTTCCTTCTACGGCCACTCAGAGTTTGAACTGGCAATCGCCTTGATGTTTGGGGGTTTTCCCAGGTCCTTCTTCACCGCCTACCACAGGAAGCTCCCCAAGGCCCCTGGCTTCGACCAGCGGCTGCAGCTCTACCAGCTCTTTAACTACCTAAACCACTGGAACCACTTTGGCAGAGAATACCGCAGCCCGACCCTGGGCACCATGAGGAAGCTTCTGAAGTAGCGGCTGCTGGCTCTGGTGCCCTTGCCAAGGGTGCCCTCCGCGTGCTTGCAGATTACTAATAAAACATACAGAAGCCAAGGGTCTCCAGGGGTCACACAGCTGTGTCTTAGCAGAAATTTCACTCTCTGGGGGTGGGAGTGCTCCACCGTGTCACCCAGCCCACAGGCAGGAACCACTGGGGAAGGTCTTCGACAGGTTCATTTCGTAATCTGGGGGAGGTTGGGCATAGAAATTATCACAGACGTGGGTTTTGCTTAGGTTGAAACTGGTGCCATTTTCCACGTGGACCCCACTTGGCTCGTGTTTCTGGTTCACACAGAATTGGAGCCAGCCAGTGGGAAGTGCTGAGTGGGACTCACTGGAAGGCAGGGCCCCTGCTGTGGGGACCAGGCATTTGGGCTGGGGCCACTGGCTGCCGCTGTCCCTGCTCCCACCTTAAGGTGGAGTTTCACGGGCTAAAGAAGGAAGGTCTTGGGTACTGGGCGCCCATATACCTCCATTCTTTCTGGGAAGTGTGGTGGCATGGCGGGTCCATAAGGCCCCGAGGACGGTAAGCACTGCAGACGGGCAAGTCTGGTGAAGACGTCCTGGAAACTTGTTCCCCGGACAAACCGCTTGGTCCGCAACTCCGTGCGGGTCGGCCCGGGAGCTAAAAGGCCGCGCTGGGAGGAGCCTGAGGGCGGCTCAAAGGGGCGGTGCAGCTCTCCGCGTCCCCCGACTGGCCCAGTGAGGGGCGCTGGCCCTGACGTTCCTTCTCCGAGCGCGGCCCTTCGCCCGGAGGGCGGACCGGAGCTCGCCACACCCAGACCCCGGCTCAGCCCCTGGCTGCGCCCTCCACTCTTGGAGCCGCTCAGGCTCCACCCACGGTCTCAAGCTCCGCCTCTGCAGCTCCCTGACCTGGGGCTGTATCCCACGCGCTCGGGCCCCGCCCCTTTCCCGTCCCTAGGCCCCGCCTCTGCCCCGGCCTTCATGTAACCCAGTGCTGAGTTCCTGCTCCCGCTGTCCGCTCCCCGCCCTGCTCTGTGCCCTCAGTTGGTCCGCGCCGCGCCCTTCCCAAGCTCCACTTCCGCCTGGGCATTGTCTTGGTCCCACGCCCATCCCTACTCCGGCGCCCCTTTCGCGCTCGTTGTTTTGGCGACTGGCGCGCTCCGTAGCCGGGCCGGCGTGCGAGGTCAGAGGTCGCGGGGTGGGGCTGGCGCCTGTTCAGCCTCCTCATTTCTCACGCTTCTTCTCTCATCTTCGCTGCTGTAGTGGACTTGAAGCCGCGAGCGCGTGAGCCGGGGACCGAGGGCTGGAGGGCTGGAGGGCGTGAGCCGGGGCTCGCCAGGGCCGGGGACGCGGGTAGGAGCCGGGTCTCCCGTGAGGGCTGAGGCCCGGCGGGCGTGGTCGCGGCCCCCAGCGCGGTTACTGTGGTCTCTAGGCACCGAAGATGGCACTAAGCGACGAGTCGGCGGCGGGCGCCCCGGAGGAGCAGGAGGAGGACGCCGGCCGTGAGTCGGACGCGCTCGCCCGCGGCGCCGCCCTAGAGGCGTTCGGCGAGAGCGCGGAGACGCGCGCGCTGCTGGGCCGCCTGAGGGACGTGCACGGCGATCGGGCGGCCCGGGAGGTGGCGCTGGAGCGGTTCCGAGGTGCGTGCGGCATCGCCGACGGCCCTGTTTCGTGCCCGCGCGGGCTCCCGGCACGAGGACCGCGGATGCAGCGCTCTCCTGGCCGTATTGCCCGCGGAGCGCCCAACTCCGCCCTCCTTGGGGGCGGTTCTGAGCCGGCGACCAGGAGGGGAGGGACGGGAGGGCGACAGGATAGCTCCACCTGCTGCAGTTTAGGGAAGGGACTGGCTCGGGCCGGTGCTTCCTGCGCGTCGCGTCCCCTTCGCCGCTGTCTTTGACCCGGACGAAGCGCACGCTGACTGCGCCGCTGTGTGCGCACGACCATCACACGCTGTGACGGCAGAGGGTCTCTGCTTTTTGTTTAACGTTATTGCCCGCGTGTGGTCGCGAACGTGGCACGCACGACGGAGGGTATAGGGCGCTTGTGCGGGAGCCCTGTGCTGGCGGGAGAGAAAGTAGTGCCTTTCCCCGGTGGTCCCTGGGGCCGAGCCGAGGCGAGTGTAGCACACCCCGTCTGGACTCCACATAGGGTCTTAGGAGGCGGTTGGAGAGGGAGTGTGCTCTCTGAGATGGGGCAGGGATGGAGAGAGGGGTCGGGAGGGTCAGCAGCACAGCTCACCCCACAGACCCTTGGTTTGAAAGCCTTGGTGAGCATCAGCCTCCCCGTGCAGCTTGTTTGGAGGCAGGTCTCTGCCCTCACCTCAGGGATGCTAGCGCCCTGGTGGCTTCCAGTAGCAGTGGTCCTCAGCGCCAGCTTGGTGGAACGCGGTTCCACAGGGATGGGAGCTGCCCTGAGCCCGCGTGGTGGTGGGGTGTCAGTGTTTGGAGAGATTTCAAGTAAGAGGAAGGAAACGCACGCAGAAAAGCCCAAGCCTTGCTTTGTGTGTTGTGGAGAGGAGGTATGTGCAGGGGGAGGGCTGTGCCACATGTCACCTTGGGGCACCTTGGGAGTAGATTTTCTTGCCTTGGATGTAAGTAAGCAAAGAACAGGCACTGGCCTTGGTCCTGAGAAATAGCCCGTGAAGATCCCAAGGGTCTGACCGGTTAGAAAAAGACATCGATAGGTGAACGTTGTAGGAAAACTACGTACGAAAACGTGAGAATATTGACTATGGCCAACTGAGCTGTTGATTTAAGGAAGTAGACCCAAAGGCTTTATAACCTGGAATGCAGGGACTTCAGAAGATCAGCTTCCTGAAGAAGCCCTTGGAGGCTGACTGATGGGTGCTGCTGTAACAGAAGTACCACATGTGGCTAAACAAATTTATTCTCTCACAGTTTGTTGTTGCTGTTAGGTGCCATCAAATCAGTTCTGACTCCCAGTGGCCCCGTGTGCAACAGAACCGCTCACTGCCCCGTCCTGTGCTGCGTGAGCCGGTGTGGCAGCCACTGTGTCAGTCCGTCCTGTTGAGGATCTTCCCCTTTTTCACTGACCCTTTATGTTACCTAGCAGGATACTCATCTCTAGGACTGGTCCCTTCTGACAACATAACCAAACTACATGAGGTGAAGTCTCACATTCTTGCTTCCAAGGAGCATTTCATCTGTACTTCTTCCAGGACAGATTTGTTTTTTCTTCTGGTAGTCCATGGGATTTTCAGTTATTCTTTACCAGCACTACAAGTCATATGCATCAATTCTTTTGTCTCCCTTATTCATTGTCCAGCTTTCACATGCATATGAAGCGATTGAAAATACCGAGGTTTGGGTCACATGCACCTTAGTTTTCTTTTTTTTTTTTAAATTTTGATTTGGGTGAAGATTTGCAGAGCAAATTCACTTTCCATACAGCAGTTCACATATACTTTGTCTCATGTCATTGACCACAGTTTACCACAATGCAACAGCTCCCCTCCCACTTCCTCCCCATAGTTACCTCTTCCCAGTGTCCATCCCTCCATACTCTCCTGCCCCCTGAGCTGTCTCCCTGTGCATAAGCAGCCCTTCCTTCTCCCATGATTGTTCTCTCCAGGGTGTGTGTCTACTTGAGGTAAATGCTTAACTCACATGCCTGTACTTTGTTTGGCTGGAAACCACAGGTGTGGGTTCAATTCCAGACCTGAAGGGCAGCTAGGGGCCATAGTCTCAGTGGTTCCACCAGGCTCTATCGGATCAGCAAACCTGGTCCCCACCTTCTTTTTTCTTTTTTCCTCCAAATGATTTTGAGTTTTGTTCCACATTGTTCTCCCTCTCTATCCAGGATCTCCTACATCCCTTCTAAGTGGATGACAGTGGTAGCCGGGCACCATCTAGTTCTTCTGGTCTCATAGTTGTATAGGTTGCAGATTGGATGGTGTACCAGTCGCTAGGACTGATTGTTTCCATTAATTTTGGTTTTCTTCTTTCTTCTTGACGAGGAGAGACCCATCATTGTACTAGATGACAGCTTGCTAGCTTTTAAGATCCCACTTGCTACTCGCCAAAGTAGGAGGACATGCACCTTAGTTTTCAAAGTGACATGTTTGATCTTTAATACTTTAAAGAGGTCTTTTTTTTTTTTTTAATTGTGATTTGGGTGAAAGTTTACAGAGCAAATTCACTTTCCATACAGCAGTTCACACACATGTTGTCTCATGACATTGACTGCAATTTACCACAATGCAACAGCTCCCCTCCCACTTCCTCCCGATAGTCACCTCTTCCCTGTGTCCTTCCCTCCATGCACTCCTGCCCCCGAACTGTCTCCCTGTGCATAAGCAGCCCTTCTTTCTCCCATGATTGTTCTCTCCAAGGAGTGTGTCTACATCAGGTACATGTTCAGCTCCTATGCCTGTCTTTTGTTTGGCTGGAAGCCACAGGAGTGGGTTTAATTCCAGACCTGAAGGGCAGCTAGGGGCCATAGTCTCAGTGGTTCCACCAGGCTCTATCAGACCAGCAAACCTGATCTCCTTAAAGAGGTCTTTTGTAGCATTTTTGCCCGGTGCAATATGTCATCTGATTTCTTGACTATTGCTTCCATGAGCTTGATTGTGGATTCAAGTAAAATGAAATACTTGATAACTTCAATCTTTTCTCTTTTATCGTGATGTTGCTTATTGGTCCAGTTGTGAGGTTTTTTTTTTTTAAACGTTGAGGTATAATCCTTGCTGAAGGCTTTCGTCTTTGGTCTTCGTCAGAGAGTGCTTCAAGTCTTCTTTGTTTTCAGCACTCAGGGTTGTGTCATCTGCATGTCACAGGTTGCTAATGAGTCTTCCTCCAGTCCTGATGCCATGTCCTTCTTCTTATAGTCTAGTTTCTCAGATTAATTGCTTGCATACAAATTGAATAAGTATGGTGAAAGGATACAACTTTGATGTATACTTTTCTTGATTTCAAACCATGCAGTATCCCCTTGCTCTGTTAGAATGACAGCCTCCTGGTCTATGTACAGGTTCCTCATGAGTGCAATTAAGTGTTATGGAATTCCCATTCTTCCTGGTGTTATCCGTAATTTGTTATGATCCACACAGTTGAATTGTCTTCAGCAAAGTTTCACTTGTGTGTGATATTAGCAATATGATTTGCTGTTTTCTGCATTCTGTGGGATCCCTTTTTTTGGAATGGGCACAGATTATGGATCTCTTTTAGTTGGTTGGCCACGTAGCTGTCTTTCACATTTCTTGGCATAAATGAGTGAGCCCATCCAGTGCTGCATCCCTTTGTTGAAACATCCCAGTGAGTATTCTATCAATTCCTGGATCCTTGTTTTTTGCCAGTTCCTTCAGTGCAGCTTAGACTTCTTCCTTCAGTACCATCAATTCTTGGTCATATGGCACCTCCTGAAATAGTTGACCATTAACCAGTTCTTTTTGGTATAGTGACTGTATATTTTTTCCATTTTCTTTGGATGCTTCCTGCATCATTCAGTATCTTGCTCATAGAATCCTTAAATATTGCAACTTGAGGTTTGAATTTTTTCTTTAGTTCTTTTAGCTTGAAAAATGCTGATTGTGTTCTTCCCTTTTGATTTTCTAACTCTAGGTCTTTGCACATATCATTATAATATTTTATTTTGTTTTCTCGAGCTGCCCTTTGAAATCTTCAGTTCTTTTATTTCAGCGTTTCTTCCATTCACTTTACCTACTCTCCGTTCAAGAGCAAGTTTCAGAGTTTTCTTCTGACATCTGTTTTGTTCTTTCTTTTCTTTCCTGTCTTTTAACTGACCTATTGTTTTCTTCATGTGTGATGGTCTTGATGTCATTTCACAATTCATTTGGTCTTTGGCCATTGGTGTTCAGTGCCTCAAATCTGTTTTTAAGATCATCTCTTATTTCAGGTGAAATATAATCAAGATTGTATTTTGGCTCTCCTGGACTTTTAAAAAAATGTTTCAGCTTCAGCTTGATCTTGTATATGAGAAATGAATTGATGGTCTGTTCCATAGTCAGCCCCTGGCCTTGTTTTGACTGATGATATTGAGCTCCTCCATCATCTCTTTTCACAAATGTAGTCAAGTTGATTGATCATCTGGTGAGGTTCACATGTATAGTTGCTGTTTATGTTGTTGAAAAAAGGTATTTGCAATGAATAAGTTGTTGGTCTTGCAAAATTCTGTCATGCAATCTCTAGTGTCCTTTTTGTCATCAAGGCTGTATTTTCCAACTATGGATGCTTCTTTGTTTCCAACTTTCACATTCTAATCACCAATAATTATCAGTACATCTTTTTTTTTTAATATCTTTTTTTAAATTTTATTTTATTAGGATTTGGGTGAAGATTTACAGAGTAAATTCACTTTTCATACAGCAGTTCACATATACTTTGTCTCATGTCATTGACCAAAATTT